TTTCCCTCGTTTGAAATTCCCCTTCCCAACATTCCCCAGTCCTCAACAGTCCGCAATCCCTGCAGAGAGCCTCTCCATGCCCCGCCGCCACCTCCACCAGCCGGGGGATGACCTGACTGCGGCCGGCCCGGTCCCCCGTCGCCGCCTCCACCAGCCGGGGATGACCTGACTGCGGCCGGCTCGGTCTCCTGCCACCTTCACCAGCCGGGGGATGAACTGACTGCGGCCGGTCCGGTCTCCCGCCACCCCCACCAGCCAGGGGATGACCTGACTGCGGCCGGCCCGGTCTCCCGCCGTCACCTCCACCAGCCGGGGGATGACCTGACTGCGGGCGGCTCGGTCCCCCGCCACCCCCACCAGCCAGGGGATGACCTGACTGCGGCCGGCTCGGTCCCCCGCCACCCCCACCAGCCGGGGATGACCTGACTGCGGCCGGCTCGGCCCCCGCCACCCCCACCAGCCGGGGGATGACCTGACTGCGGCCGGCTCGGTCCCCGCCGTCACCTCCACCAGCCGGGGGATGACCTGACTGCGGCCGGCTCGGTCCCCCGCCACCCCCACCAGCCGGGGGATGAACTGACTGCGGCCGGCTCGGTCCCCCGCCGTCACCTCCACCAGCCGGGGGATGACCTGACTGCGGCCGGCCCGGCCCTCCGCCGCCGGCCGCCGGCCCTGAGCCGGCGGCCGGCCGGGCTGAATGCCCTGACTGACTGACGTGCGGGGCACTCACGCAGGATTACAGCTCCTCGATCGCCTTATCCGCACCCTGTTTTGTCCCCCGCACGGCTTTGTTGGCGGCAGTAATACGTGGTAAGAGCATTTCAGCAATTTTCATTGATATTTTCCGGCAGGGAGCGTCGGAAACCGGAGCCCGCTCCTTTCGGGGCGGCTGACGTATCTTGGTTTAATAAGGCTTTGGTCGGGCACCCACCGCTGAAACCGCCGCCATTAAAGCCATGAAAAAGAACCTGATAATCTTACACGCCACATTAAAATATTAATCTGCACCGGGCTGTCATCCTTGAAAAGTATCAAATTTATCGACGTGGGGCGACGCGCTGGCTGCGCGACGCTGAAAGGCATTTGACACCAGGTCCGTGTGGGTGAATGGCGCGCATGATCAGATGTTGATCGGGGCAGCAGCACGTTTAATTTGTCGCAGGCTCCCGCCGCGGAGGCTCCAGCTGGAGGCGTCGGAACGCCCCGCGCCGGAGGTTCGGCCGTGTTCCGGCGCAGTGCAGCGGCCCGGCCCGATCAGCACGTGCCGGCCTGCATCGGGACAATCAGCAGCAGACGGTGAGTGGAAAAATCAGCTCGGGTGGTTACAATTTGGGCAAAATGGAGCAAATCGCTCAGTTGTGGTCTTACAATACTTGTTGCCAAGGGACCGTGAGCTGATGTGCGTGCAAACACCATTGTACTCGACGTTTCTGGTCGTTCTTTGCGTAAAGAAACAGTCATTTAAGTCGTCAACCCCTTGTGTGTAAACCAGTTCGATTTTGAACAAAGCAAGAAGAAATGCATGCATTTTGAGTTACTGGCTAAGGGGTTTGCACTTCAGACTACTTTGCGTCGGCACGGGCCTGAGTCCAAGTGAAGCCGTTTTTTACGACAGCTCACTTCATCCAACCCGTTCGCCGCTCCCCTCCTCTGATTGGCGCTCGTGCCTGCCCTCCCGTATCGCCACCCATCAGAAGGGTGTCACAGGCGCACGCTCTCCCGAGCCAAAATGGCGCTGGCAGCCGGCAGTCAGGATAGGCTTCTTCCAGCGGCGGCGGCTCCGTGCGGCTTCACACGTCAATACTGGTCACCCCGCCACGGACACGCGGCGTCCCCCGACTCTGAACCTGCCGCGGCGCTGCAGCGGCCGCCATTCTCGTGCCGTCCAGCTCTGTTGACGCCACGGAACAACCTCCCTGCGCCAATCCGCCCACCCAAGTTTCGCCCGGGCAGAAACAAAACGACCGCCGTCCTCAGCCCGCCGGCTGCTCCCACGAGCTGGTTTTCTCCGGAGCCGGAGGTGCCCTGTCACGGTGTGACGTCACCGGTGGCGAGCGCCCGATCGCCGCCAATGCGGCCGTCTCGTCCATCAATACGGACTATCGGTGCCCGTCGTTTTTGCACAGTAAACACGGAGGCGCGCCAGGTGATAAAACGCTCACAAAAACGCCATGACGGTACCAGTAGCAAATTAAGTTCTCACCTCGGTAGCAATTAGTCGATGTTATCGGCCGGGCGGTCGGGAATGCGGCGCCCTGACGGACGGGTCGACGCCACAACACTGGTATTAATTCATTTCGGCATAAAGGCGGGCTGCGAGATTGACAGTGATAGCGGCGGTCCTGTCACTCGAGCTCTGCTGTATCACCGCGCGCGGGTCAGGCTGGGGCCGCCGACCGTCGCCGCTGCCGTCCGTCCCGGCTGGCCGGCCGGCAGTCCGCCGCTGCTGCCGACATTCAGCGCCAAGGCGCCGCGTGGCCGCCGCTCTCGCCCGCGTCCTGCCAAAGCGCCGAGCGGCCGACGCTGCGGGAGGCTCGGCTCGCTGGCTGTTCGGTCCACTATGCTGACAGCAGACATACTTGGCGCGATACAGTGGTTGGACGAATGTTCCAAGGTGTACTTGCGCAACAGGATAAGCCCGACGCTAATGGGCGAGCGGAGTGCAGCATGGATAACCGACCCCGCAAGAACCAGCGGGAGACTGATCTACTGGGTGAAGTGCCCCCTAGGGTGGTCAGTTACTGTTGCTCTCGAAGTCCCGCTCAGAGTTCAAGCGCTCTTGGCGTGGCGGCAGGCCCGTCTCTTTCGAATCATCTTCGAAAGTCAAGGCGGATACGGAAAGGGACGGAGACGGAGAGCGTAGCATCAGAAGGTGTGTAGAGAAATCCTTTTTCGCGTCATTGATTTTCGTGATCGCCGTTGGGTTACTGTTTTAGCTTTTGACTTGCGCTACTGGCACCAATGGCGTTAAAAAGTGAGCGGTCACGCCCGCCCCCCCCCCCCCCCCCCCCCCCCCCGTTACTTGGCCTCAGCGAATGACGGCGCAGCAGTGCCAGAGGAAGTCTTCCGGACGGCAGCACAAGTCAATTGGTCGGTGCCAATATGCTATATAATGCTTCAATGTTGGAATACTAACATTCTATTGGGCGGATGCCTTTTGCTTGAATGCCACCAGCAGTTCTGCACGTTATAAACAGATCAACAATTTCCTTGCGGATTTTTCTCTCAAGCATTGCCCTGCACGACGGAAGGATATTTTTGATACCATAGTCCAACTCTGCAATAAACTATCGCTGCCAAACATGTTGGGCATTGCCATAAGCGCGTATTACCTGAAAAGTTGTCATGTTGGAATGTCTGGGCCATCTCGGCCTACCGCGATCAGAGTGCGAGATGAAGCCGATGAGGATAATGGTGGTGGCATAGCCGTCACTCAGCTCGACGGTAATTTGTTTGTGTGTAGGGTTTGTTGCCGGGGTTTCAGTTGCATTGAGTCAGTTCGGAAATGGTCAGGAATGCTGTTTCGTGCTCGCTTGGAGCACTGAGCCCCGGACCTTGAGAGTATGTGAGCCAAATCCTGGGTTTAAACCTTTTTTGGCGTGTTATGGTGGCTGCGTTTTGCCATTTTTTCTACCTAGCCACCTAACTTGCTTTGTAAAATTGCACCCTTGATATCGCATATAGTATTATGTCACCTTTTCTGTCAAGGTTTTACTTTTCTGGCAAAGGGATAGCCAGTTCCGATTTAAATCCGCGCTTCTGTAATATTATGCATCGCAAATTTAACGATAATCCTAGGCGTTTATTCATTTAACGGCTTGGCATGTATTGATAGACATGTATTGATAGATACGTTGCTGCACTTTGCACATCTATCACAAAGGTATTGATATTTACGATTATGATAATGTAGTTCAAACTCGCCAAGCGTGCATAATTTGGAAGACTGCAGCTCAATATTTTTTTTGCCCCAGCGGCACGGGCCCAAAGCTGTACGGCATAATAAGGCAGATAACGGCAGACCACTCGTAAGCTTTGAGCAGCGACTGTGCCCGTACGTGTAAGCAGAATTTGATATTGGTGTGCCAAAGCCTTGCTACAGATTGATGATGAACCATTTGAGAAAGTGGCACTTACGACAAATGGACGCCCCCAGAGGTTGAATGCTTCAGGCCGGCAAAAAAAAAAAAACGGCTACATGCAAGTTGAGTAACGTTTTTGGACACGAGCGGGGCACAAACGGGGCGAATGCTCCTCTCATCTGCGATTTCCTTTGTTGCTATGCGTGCTCATATCGCTGTACGGGGGATCAAGCGTTGGGCATACTAACCGGTGGCACTGTTTTTCATCCATATCTGCCTTAACTTCAGCACTTTTCCGTCGTTGGTGTTCATTCTATAAGCTTTGACATCCCAACCTTTGCGACACTTGCCACCTAAGCGACCCATTGCAACCAGTGGACATTGATTGCAATGTCTGCCCATGCATTTCAGTGTCATTATTTGATGATGCGCTTCATCTCAGCCGTCGACAGTGGTATGATATGCTCGGGGGCATCCTGAATGTAACATTTTCCAGACAGTGTCTCGACCTAAATGAAGTTTCGATCGTGTGAGCATTGCGGTTCAAAACTACGACCAAAAGTGGTTCTCACAAGGGACGTTGATAAAACAACAGCCATGCATTCATACAGAGCATGACGGTAGGCAAATGGGTTGCAAATAACAGCATGCAAGGCGCCATTTCTACCATCAAACACAAATGCAAAAAAGCAACTATTTCAGGCTGTGATACCATTCGCAAGTTAGTGGGATGCGCACTCATCTGCAAGCAAGTTCTGGATCCAGATGATCCTGGAGAAAAACTGAACATTTCGTACGTCAAAACACATTTGAATTTTCAGGTGTGTACTCCTTGAACGATGCCAATATTGGTACGAGCCATGCCGTTTTCCCGTGCGGTCGATGCCCGTTCCAGCTGCCTCGCCGCGACAGCTCCTCTCAGGGCGTCTCGGTCGCGCCCGTCGCTGCCGGTACCCGGCGCGCGCGGCCGGGGTCATCCCGGCCGGCAGAGCGGTGGGAGCCGGTCCGCGGCGTCGGCCAGGCGTGACGAGTCGTGACGCTCGAGACGAGCCGCGGCGCGCCGCCCACGCCGCGCGCCGCGATGGGCGGCGATCGCGGGCGCGGAGCGACGCTCTGGCAGCACAAACACGCGTCTAGTTGGCCGCACTTGCGGCGCCAATCGGCGGCGATCTGGCGCAGAAACTGTCGCATCACGCCCGAATTACAGCGCCCAAGCGATCCCTGATAAGGCAGCCGGCCGCCAGATGAAGTCAGCCCAGCAATTGTCGTGTCGGCCGGCCAGCGCGCGGTCGCGCCGGCCGGCGCCTGTTTTTGTTCGTGTTGATAGCGCCTCGATAAGGGCAGCCGGGGTGCCGGCGGTGTGATCACGCCATAGGCTCAGGTCGCGGCGCGGGGGTGCAGCCCGCGCCGGGTCACGAGGAGCGGCGGGCCCGAGCCAGAGCTGCCGACCGGTCACAGGTCGCAGGCGACAGCGACGCGGATGTAATTAGCCTGGAGAGGTTTGTCTGAACATCGGGCTGCTACGCGAAAACTGGGTGTGCTTCCTGAAAAATTATTGCAGGCTTACAGCCTGAATGTGAGGATGTTATATGCCAAATCTAGCGTGCCGAACTCATCTACGGTTGCAATAGTTTATACAACAATACTACGAGGTGGTAAATGTAGGGCAGTTTTGTGTACGGAAAGACGCGGGCGAATATACGAATACTTAAAGACGGGCGAATGTTTAGGCATGCAACATAGCGAAGGTATGTGGGGACTGCCGAGCTCCATAAATAACTGCAATTAGCTCCAAGACGGTACATTTTAAACTTAACAGCTCGGTCCAATAAGATATCGCAAACAGCAGTTGGCAGGGTAGTTTGCCCATACAACTTCAATTGGTAGACTGGTAGAAGCTGGTGCTAGGCAAACGACTGGTACAGGAGTGGTACATAGTAAGCCATGCAAGTGAGCTTCGGGCTCTTCGGACCTTTTCCACAGCCGATGCGAGTAACGGGGTCGGTTGTGATCCGGCCCGTCAGCACACCGCCTTTCTGACTGTCCCGTGGAAGCGTGCAGCATTCATAAACGCTTTACCGCAAAGTGCATGGGTGCAAGGAGGTTAAACTTCCACAATAGTAGGGCGTAAAGGTTGGTGACAATACCGCCGTGGCCGCCATGCTGCAAGCTCCATCTTCACTCGGCGCACACTGGATGGCGCTGGCGGAGCGAGGTTTTAAAGGTGGTTGACTTTGCCATGGCCCTTCTCTCGTTGACATACTTATTGGCGCGAAGCCTTATGAAGAATCGCCGCTCTCCAGTCTGCACGGGCACCGGCTGCACCGTGCATTCAGAACAAGCAGTCCACCAAGAGCTAACTGAAACACAGCATTCGTCAGTGGGATGGCTCCACCGCAGCTCCGACTCTGAAGAACATGCGACATAAAACCCGACGACCTGACGACACATAGTCGCAAAGTGTAAAAGGGTTATAAGTGATGTCATTTGAAAACGCAACGAATTCTGCGACGGAGCACAGTCTTCTCCGTAATCATAATCAATTCGCCTAGCATTGACCATTTTGCGAAAGGGCACCGAAAGTGTTGTTTTGCGTCATTGATTGGGAGCCGAGCCGGCGCCAGGCAACCTTTCACCCCAGCTGAGTGCTTCGGAATGGAATAAGACCATTTTATTTTCGACGAACGGTAGTTAATGTTTTCAACGTTGTATTCACATACGTCGATTGCCCTGAGCAGCATGGTGGTCATGGCCTCGGTATAATGCCCACAGAGGATATGTTTTGTGCACTATTTACCTTGTTTTCATTCTCACCAGAATCCCACAGAAATATTGGGGATGGCAAACTATCACTTGGTGGCATATTGGTTGGGTGAAAGAGGGGTACAGTCTTTACAAAATGACATGAATTGACACCTCCGAATGTCACCGACGTGAGATGACAGTTATCAGCGGTCAATTATTTTGAATCACGCTCTGCCTGTTTCAGACAAAACCACGGTTAAAAAAAACAACTGTGCACCCCCTCGAATCGCGTCTTTCCTCCCATTGGATATCCCGTTTTCCGTTTCCCGTCCCGCTCAATCCCGTTCCCCCCCCCCCCCCAATGGTCTGAAAACTAAAAACAAAATAATGCCACAATTCCGGACCGCAGATAGCGTAGTGCTGGGGTGGGGGGAGAGGGGCTGTGAACCGCTGAAATGTACCGTTCTGCACTCAAATATGATTTGGCTTCCTTCCGTTGCCGCATGCGCTCATGCACCAACAACTTCCATACAGGCCTCACATCCAGACCTGCACCTCAAGTTGCCTACAAGCTGGTAAAAACGCACGCGCAGTCGGCCATTTTTGCGGCGGCTGACTGTGCGTGCAGTCAACGATAATAGCGTCTGTTGTTGGCGGCGTCAATTTGGCCGCTGCCCTGCTCCCTCCGTGTCGCTCGCCCGCTCGCGCCTTTGTGCCGCTGCATTACATAATTTACCTAATCAGCAGCAGGGGCGGCCATCTTGTAGTTATCCTATTCCTCTTCATTACGGTTGATTTGCATCTTGTTAGTAGCGACGCCATTCTGACAGGCTGGCTCCAGCGTGCTCTCCCTCTCTCCCTCTCTCTCCTTTGCCCTCCCTCTCCGCCTTTCTTTATCTCTGCTCCGTACGTTTCGATTGTTCTCTCCCTCTTCCCCTCTTCCCCTCTTCCGTTCAGCGCACAACGTGCAGGCTAATTTCTTCCCAGACATCCGAGATGGATCAGCCCGAGAAGGTAAGGTGCCGCACACATCAGCGCTTTTCGGTTTAACAGGTTTACGTTCCCGACACGCCTTTGAGCCGCCATGGTGTAAAATGCCGCACAATCTAAACCGTCTGTCGACACACACCGTGACATAGACGCAATGGATGTCGCTGCGTTGTGCTGGGGTGCTGCAGCAGCTTGTTGCTGATGTGTTAGGGGTCATTCCTCTTCACTTAAGAAGCACCAGGGTTCGCCGATGCTTTGTGTTTGCCACACATGCATGGTCCCTGACTGATGCATGTTAAATTGTTTCTGGTTAGCTTCGTAACGTGTCGTATCGTTTCTGATCAATACTTAGTCCAAATTGCAGCTGCATCAGTTTACGGCAACGCTCAATCTGACTTCAAAAATGGGCCTAGTGTTCTTTCGACGTTGCTTGGGCACAATATTGAGTATCGCAGCGCAATGAACTTTCACAACTAAATTCTGCCGTTAAGTTGGAATCTCCCCACCGTATGGTGAGGTCAGGGCTTACGCAACAACCTCTGCTTAATGAGGGCTGCTCTCATACAAATATGTCTAATCAAAACGTTTACACTTAAGTTCTTAAAATGAAGAAAAAAACAGAGACAAAATGTTAAAAGCTTTTCAACCAGTGCGAGGCCGTTTTTTCCATGGCTTTCGGCTCCTTCTCCTTGACTCGCATAAAATTCAACATTCACTACCACTTAGGTTAGGCTTAAGTCTACATTGCTTCGCCACGAGCTAAAAAGAGGCCTACGACTAAAGCTATGTTGATGAGGATTTTGCCCCCCCCCCCCCCGCTCAACTTAAGGACGCTCTTACGCCATGCTGTAATTTCGTGAATGTGCACGATTTGTTTTCAATATATACACATCACAGCTTTTGTGGGGCATACAATGCCATACCCCATACAGACATTATCGTCCGCCAGCATGCTGGCAAGTTATCTTAATGTTATCTTACAACATGTGCATTTACTGTACTTCCCTTCCTTACCCTGGATAAAAGTAGCCCAACCCATGTGATTCAAATTACGTTGAAATAAACGCTTGACATAAAAAACGCTCCAAGCGTGCAATAATATGAGCCACGAAATATGCGGTAAGTTATATCACGACATGAATGAACACTGATGTGCAGCTATTTTCCGGAGCACAACATTGGTGTGTTCTGTGTTGTATCTCCGTCGACGAGCCGGGCTGGGCCTGAACCTCTACACCTGGCTGGCTGTGAGCAAATGAACGGCCCCGGGCTGAGCCCGGCGTCCATGGGCCTGGTCCGGGCCGTTTGAGGTCCGATGACCGGCAAGCCAACACCACATGAGACCTGACAGCTTCTCTCAGTGTCGCGCTCACCAGCCATCGCGCACGATTCCGCCCAGCTCGGCCGCTGGACACCGCCTCACCACACGGCGCCGAACGCGTCGCACAAGCGCGTGTGGCATAGCGCAGAGTGGCGGCGGCGCCCGAGCCTGTGGCCTGTAGCCTGGCCTGGCGTGTGGCCTGTGTCGCGCTGGAGACCGCCTCACCAACACGGCGCCGAACGCGTCGCACAAGCGAGCGCGGCGGAGCGCAGAGTCGCGGCGGCGCCCGAGCCTGTGTCGCGGCCATTAGCGCCAGGACGTCCCGCGCGCGGCCGGCCGCCATTCACGACCGGCCTGGCCCGGCTTTGTGGCGACTGGCCCGCACTAATGAACCGCCTCTGTCGTTTTAATGCGCCCGAACAGGGATAATGGCTGCTCTCGGCCGCTTATTGTGCATGGCTGGCGGGCAGGGATCCGGGACGGGTGGAGGCGGCACAGCTCCGAGGCGGGCAGGGATCCGGCAGCGGCGGAGGCGGCACACTCCGAGGCGGGGGGGGGGGGGGGGGGGAGCCGGCGCCGTCTGCAGCCGAGACGCCCCCACTGCCTAGAACCGTGACTCCCGTCATATTGACTGGCCTTGCGGCTTCCGTAACTAGCTGGAACTGCGACCCCCGTTACGGACTGGCACCGCAGCTCGACTGTTCTTGAGCGGGACTCTTGATTCCGTTTTCAACTGGATCTGTAGCTCTCGTCGCTGTTTAGAACTAGGGCTTCAATCTCAAACCGCAGCGAGGGCTTCCATCGCCGACCGCAGCTGCATACGATGTCATCGCCGACCGCAGCTGCATACGATGCCATCGCCGACCGCAGCTGCACACGATGCCATTA